CCGGAGGGTAGAGCTGCCTGGTTTCTGCTGCCTCATGCCTGGAGTGCAGAACAACGCCCTGCCATCCTCGGTGTGTCCTCACCAAATGAACAAACAGACCAACGAATGAAGACAGGACTGTGTGCCCCTATGGGGTTCTGTTCTCTCCGCCTCCATCCCAGCGCGTCCTGACTCGCCGTTCCAGCGGGATGAACTGATTGCACCGTGACAGGGTGCTGTCCAGTCACTGCATGTCTTCAGCAGGCAGACTGGCCTCTTGTTGTCCAGGGAGGGCATTTAACTTTCACCTAGCAAGAAGTGTGTTCCTGGAGTACAGAGCCCTGTGGACCTGGGCGGGCACCTCGCTCCCAGCGACCCTGGGTCCGTCACCTGCACGCGGGGTCTGTGGGGCTGTTGTGAGGTTTGGATGAGGCCGTGCGCTTTGCAGAGCACTGCCCAGGCAGTCAAGAGTGACCCCCGACCCTGCGTGTGAGGGGACCGCATGCCCTGACGCTGGTCGGTGATGTCGTCCTGGCACAGAGGCAGGTAGAATGATGGCTGGACCTTTCTGTTTTATGCACTGAACAGCTCACGCTCCTGTCAATTCTTTGGGAATACTTTAAATTAGATATACAGTGCATTTTGTATCTGACGTTGGAATTTGAAGATCCAGTCCAAAGAGATTAAAAAGCAGCATCCTCCCTGGTTCCTTGGCAGCCTCTTGAAGTGACCAGACGCGGCACGGTCACATGGGCTCGGGCGCTCCCTGGGTTGGGATCCCACCGAAAGCCATTGGTCGACACGTGTGGCGCGTTTCCTTCCTCGGACGTTTGCCTGAACCTGCCAGGTGTCTCGGCGGGAGAATAAGATGTCATCACTGCCTCCTCCCCACGTGCTGTCCAGTGAGAGTGCGACTTCTTGTTAAATTTGTTTGCTAAACTGTCTGGCATTCCCAACAGATGATAGTTTATTCAGCAACGAATGCTGCTACTATCACTGCGATTATTACTACCACCACGGACGGTAATCAGGATAGTAGTAACTGAGGAACAGCAGCATCGGGGGACGCTTACCTTGTGCTCTTTATGTTCTGGCACTGTCGGGGCACTTTGCACATAGTGACAATCCAGTGAGGGAGGGACGTTATTATCCCCATTTACAGATGAGGAAACTGATCACCCAGGGCCTCACTCACAGCTGATCAGTGCGGGACTGGGATTTGAACCCTGGCGGTTTAGCGTCGTTTAAAAGTGTGTGCGTGCTTTTAGCTGACCCACCGTGCTGCCTGAGCAACTGTTCACTGATTGCACCACATGCTTTATTTGGGGACGCGTGGACCCACTGACGTCGCAGAGGAGACAGATCACCCTGTGGCGTAGGTGAGCACACCAAGGATGCACCTGCAGGGTTCTGTGGGGTCAGGGTGGCAGTGGGGCTGGGCCTGGGACCCACGTCCTCTGGCGTCTGAGCTGTGGTCTTTCTGCCCCACCTCCCTGCCGCCCAAGCTCCTGTGAGCCTCTGCAAGGGGCTGACCAAACAGAGAACTCTGGGGCCCTGGGGGGCACCCGCTGCCCACTTTCCTGGATCCCAAGGACACTGATGCGTCCCCGTTTCCTCCTTCGTGGAAGGGTGTACGCATGCAAAGATAATCATAGTTTGCAGATGGCTGCGTAGTTCGTCTGACTCTCTGGAAAAGTGAGGCCTTTTGGGCAAGAAGGACCCAAAGCCATAACAGTATTTGCTCTTGAGCGTTAGAAGGCTCACCTCTTGGAACCTCCCGAGAGGCAGAAACCAGCAGCAGGAAGATTTCTATCTGAAGATGTCCCCTGCAGTGTTGTTTATGGTGTAAGCTGTTGGGAACAACCCAGCTCAGGGCTCCCCCGACCTTCACTCTGCATCCCCCTCACCGGGAGCTTTAACAGTCCCTTCGCCTGCCTCGAGGCCGTGTGAGTCCAGGCTCCACCGTTGCTGGTGACGGAAGACCCGCTGCCATCTGCGCACTCATCATGTCACATCCAGTGTGGCCAGAAGACAGTCGAAACTGCCCGTTATACCGAGAGCTGGACGGTAACGTCTGTCCAGGCCCCACTGCTGGGATTCTGGGCTGCTGCCCTGCTGTGGGCTGGGGCGCTAGCAGGTTCCAAAGCTCCCTGTGTGGTTCTGATGTGTGGGCAGGGCTGAGGACTGCTGCCCTCCAGGCCGTGCAGGCGGGGTTGGGTTCTTTTGCCTACAGTCCTTCACTGACCACTGCGGAAGGTGTGTGTCAGTGTGGAAGAATGTGCGTAACAGAAGGCTGATGGTGACAGGCAGGAGGCAGGAAACCAAGGTGATCTCTTGCTGTGTGGTGTGTGCTGTGTGGTGGTGTGTCACATGGATAAGGGGACCTGGGACCAACTACAGGGACCTCACTCATCTTTGATTTCTTACGGTGTCAGTGCTGTGAGCAAACCTTCCTTTAATTTTTATATCCTCTAACGTCATAGCATTATTTATGGAAAAGTCAAGATAAAAACTAAATTGCTCTCTACAGTTTGCTGCCTGAGCCATTGATGGGCCCCATCTCAGCTGCTCCCTCCTGCCATTGCATTGCCAGGACTCATCCCGGGGAGAGCCGGATCCCCTGTGACGTGACCCAGGGACGGCTTCGTGAGCAACGGCCCTTTACCCGAATGATGTGGATGATGCAGAACAGCTCACGGCTAATAAATGTGCCATGGGTCCCGGGTCGGAGACAGCTCTGCCCAGTGCATAAATAAGACAGGCCTTTTTAAAAAAGAGATCTGTATTTAAGGACGTGTTTGGCTGTGTTCTTTGCCTCCCGTAAAGGTCACCCACATAGATTTTCCTTCTTGAGCATTGCCGGCTGTGAAGCACTGGGCATTTCTATTCTCTCTCCATCCAGTGAACCTGGGGGACTAAATTAGATTCTGAAATTGAGTGTGCAGAGGAGTCGGTGAGTTACCGTAATGGGAGGGTATTGCTTCTCACCTTGCAAGTAGCGAGGTCATGATAATATGAAGCGAAGTGGATTAAAAATAAAACCAAAGGTATTTATTTACGACCTGCTCAGAATTGGATTGGCACCCGTGTAAGTTGCATCTAATGGTGAAAGACAGCAGATTGATGTTGATATGTCCCTGGGGACATTCTGCCAGTGAAATTTGCTCCGTGAATTCAATTTAAAGGCCCCCAGAAAGTATCCAAAATGGAAAAGGAAATGGGATTGAGGAAGGGGGAAGGCAGCGACAGTGCGACAGCATTGAAGGAGAGTCCCGGTGCGTGGCTCATGATTCAGGGGTTGGGAGGGGGCCCTGGGATGGTGGGAGGTAAGCGTGGGGACACAGACTTGACACGGGGCTGTGCGCCAGGCACTGACGGCCCCAGCTGGGAGCTGGGACCCCCTTTTACAGATGAGGAGCCCAAGGCCCCGAGACGGTCCGTGGCCAGCCCAGGCCTGGCTTCCGAGTCTGTGCCCTGAGTGCCCTCAGAGGCCGGGTTCTGTGCTGGACAGCTCAGCGTCCCCCATCAACAGATAAAGGGGAGCTTTGCTCAGAGAGGGGAGGTCAGTTGCACAAGGCCACACGGTGAGAGAGGGCCAGGGGTGTGAACACAGAGCCCCACTCACCCTGTGGTGGCGCCGTGCCAGCCTCACGGGAGCGGGAAGCTCAGTGGACAGAGGCGATGAACTGCTGCAGGTGGGGACTGAGTCCCTGAGTCTCGCTGGGCCACTCCTTTTCCAGGCAGGCAGCGTGGGGCAACCCAAGTCTGATGCCCTCTGTCACTTGTCACCTGCTAGGAGCTGGGCAGGGACAGCACCGGCACCCTTAGAGCCCCAGCCACCCTCCTGACTTCCCCAGGTCCAGCTTCTGGACGGGATGAGACAGGGGGAGGGCCCTGGGGGCCAAGTTCCCTAGGCCCAGAGCCCGCAGTGCCATCGGAGCAGTGTGAGGCCCTCCCTAGATGAGTTCTCCCTGCTTCCTGAGTGGGACTCTGGCCTTGGGTCCAGGCCCCCATTCCTCCTCTTCCGAGACCCCTGTTCCAGGGGGCTGTCCTGGCCACACAGCCCTCTGAGCCCACGCCATTCCTGCCAAACCCCTCTGGTTGCCGGGGCCTGCACTCCCCCGAAGCCCCTGTCCTTGGTGGGGTCGCCGGCTGCTCTGGCTGTGGCCGTGGTCCGTCGGGAGGGGCTGGTTTGCAGGCACGAAGGTCGGGCTGTGGCGCTGAGTCTCGCACATACCTCTCCTTCCCAACACCCTCTTCAGCCGCGGCTTAGTGAGTCACCGTCTCTTCAGTGTCCCTCGCCCTGCCTTCTAAACCGTGAGCTTACAAGGCAGTCCCTGTGTCCTGTGAGGGTGGGCTCAGTGGTCAGCCCACCGAGCTGAGACTCGGCCCAGCTGCAGGGTGGGTGGGCTGGGGCAGCAGAGGGGCTCCAGCCTGGTCTTCCCTGGAAACACTGAGAATCGAGTGGGTGGCACTAACGAGGGCTGCCCGGTGTCTGCCTGCCCTGTGTCCCCACCCGGGGTGTGGCTGGTGTGCGCCTGCCCACAGTGCATGCCAGGGTCCCTGCGGAAGGAGCTGGTGCTGGAGGAGTGGCACTGGATGTGCAGAAACCTGTACCTGAGATGTCCGGGGGTGGCACTTTACTTCCTATTCTGTGGAGTCTGGGGTGAGCGGGACCGGGGGAGTGGGAGGCTCCTGGGCCAAGGGGCACACCCACGGCCATGCCCACTGCACCCACGCCTGGACCCTGGAGTGCTGGGGAGAGTCAGCGAGATGAGGTCACAGCCCTGCAGCACTGGAGCGGCGGGGCCCTCAGCATCCCAGCAGGTGTCGTCTCCAGGGTCTGGGGCTTCCTCCTGGCTGCGGAGCCTGTTGGGGTCCAGTAGGGAGGGGGCACGATTCTGGCTGACCCCCGCTGCTGGCTGGGTGTGTTTTCTCAGGGTTCCCGCGGAGGGGCGCCCTGGTCTGCAGCCCCCCGCTGTGGTCACCCCCTCTGACCTGGCTTGTCCCTCTCCCCACAGGAGCTGCTGCTCTTCCTCCAGAATCTGCCCACAGCCCACTGGGGCGATGAGGACATCAGCCTGCTGCTGGCCGAGGCCTACCGCCTGAAGTTTGCCTTTGCGGATGCCCCCAATCACTACAAGAAATGAGCTGGGGCCACTGCAGCGGGCCTCACCCCGCCCCGGGCAGCACGCCCCCGGCTGGCTGCAGGCCCGCAGCCAAGGAGAGGCCTCATGGGAGCAGCCCGCCCTCCGGGGAGGTGCCAGGACCGGGTGCCAGACGTGGCCCAGAGCCTGGCCAGGCGGGGCTGCCTCTGTTTTCTGAGATACCAAAGAGAGCCAGCAGAGGGTCCTGGCCGTGCGGCGGGCCAGAGAGGGGTCAGGCACCTTCCTCCCCTTGCCCCTGGAGCGTGCTTGCCAAATGCCCACCTCCTGGAGCCCCCAGCCTACAGCAGCCTGAGAGGCAGACCCTCTGGGAGAGGCCTGCTGCCTGGGTGCTGGGGACAGAGGGAGGCGGCAGCTGTTTCATCCCTCCTTGGAAATGCAAAGATTCTGTTCTGTTGAGTGAAAGAGAATAAAACATAGACAAGTAAGTGAAATGTTGCACTAACCTGCAGAATCTCTGGGCTCTCACTGGGCCTGTCATGGCCAGCCACATTCCTGTAACTGCTGTCACTTTAGCATTGGTGTGTACTGTCTCTCTTGGTCTGAGTTCGGCTAGAAAGCAACGGCAGAGCCCGATGTGTGAGCCACCGAGGGCCCTGGAGGCTCTGGCTGCGGCAGGCTGGGAGCAGAGTGAGGGCTCTCGAAATCGCCTTACGTGCCATCCCAACCTCTTAAAAGAGAGAATCCGGCCCCTGTTGGTCCGCGTCAGGCACTCTGCTGCCTGAGGGAGCTGTTCTGCTGGGTGCTGAGGAGCACTCGGGGGCCTGCAGCCCAACCACACAGCTCAGGCTGAGGACGCTTCTCCCTCCACTGGGGCCCCCAGACAAGCGGGGTTTAGTCATTCGGTAATCGAGCTGTGAACACACTGTGCTCCTCCCACACGGTGGGGCCGGGAGTGGACGAGCTTCTCAGAGATGCCCGCAGGCCTCTCACCCCTTTTCCAGATCTCTGATGGGGTGGGGACTTGATTGCTTCCCGCTGTGTATCGGTCACTGGGGTGGCGAGCCCAAGTGCAGGAGGTTTCGCAGGGAGGTTTCGGACTGGCCCTGCGAGGGGCTCCCCACACACTCCCCGCCCGTGCAGAGAAGCACCTCTCACAGATGAGTGGCCAGCGGTGACATGGATACCCCTGTGGGGCCATGGGCTGCTCTGGGCTGCAACCACAGCCTCTGACCCCTGAGCCCGGGACAGGCTCCTGTCCTCAGCAGCCGCTTCTGCTCTCAGACTCATCTGTTTACGGGCATCTCTTCCTGCCACGTGCCGGCCCTTCTAGAGCAGCCACCACACCGCCAGTCTTTGCACAGCTCAGGCTCTAGGACACTGCCTGTGTAGGACGAAGCAGAGGATAGGAATATATCTGTATATGTACACGTGTGACGTGCGTGTTCCTTTTTTTATTGAAAAGATTCTTGGGTCATTGCATGTGTATGGAAATCAGCACAAAATACGTGCAAGTGTCCGATGCTCCCAAATCAGCAGAGGGACCTGCTTGTCTTAGACCAGATGGGGAAGTCTCCCCTGCACCGGTCCCCGCCCCAACCCAGGATCAGGGGTTCCTCTCCGACCAGCACCCAGCGGCCCTCCGGGCCACCACTCCTTTTTCAACCCGGACATCCAGGTCCAGGAAGAGCCACCGTGACCATGTGCAGGGAGCCCCCTCCTGCTTAGCCAAGATCCACCCCGGGAACTGCCCGTCATAGCTCAAGTCGCTGCACAGCCAAAATGTTGGGGACACGAAAGATCTGCCTCTTGAGGCGGTTTATTTTGCAAATAGGAGGGATCTGCCAAGTTAAATGAGGTTCGCATGTATTTTCATATGTATGTAAACCTGAAACTGAGTACAAGGATGTTGACGAGGGTCCTTGGAGTCTGAGCAGATCCATCTGAAGTGGTTAAAGGGTCTTCTATCTGAACACAATGTGCTGCAATGAGGAATAAAGATGCAGTGGAACCATGAGCCTTGGCCCTGATTCCGGGACTCTCCCACGGGGACGGGGAGCCCCGGCCCAGGTGGCTTCGGCCCTGATTCTGGGACTTTCCCGCGGGGACAGGGCACCCCGGCCCAGGCAGCCTCGGCCCTGATTCCGGGACTCTCCCAGGGGGACGGGGCACACCGGCCCAGGCGGCCTCGGCCTTGATTCAGGGACTCTCCCACAGGGACAGGGTGGCCTGGCCCAGGCGGCCTCGGCTCTTGGCGCTCTGGTCTGAGGCCAGTGAGAGCCGAGAGGCAGGGGCACTGGCCCAGCCCTGTGGCAGCTGCTGGACAGTCTGAGTTCTGGGCCTTTCCATACAGGCCATCAGCAGCGTGCCAGGCCTGGGACAGGAGGGGCCTCCTCATCTGGCCACACCCTGTCAAGTGCCTGCTTGGGGCAGGTACTGGGGTCTGGGACCCACTCCTCCCCACTCCTACGACCCAGAGCACACTCATCCCTGCCTCCCAACCCTGGGCGTCCAGCCCCCCACCTCCTCCTGGGGTGTCTCAGGACTGCTTTCGTGGTGCCCCACACCCCTGGGGCACCCCATGTCTACACTTGCCTCTGACACTGGGGACCCTCCAGGGTGGCACTTTGCTCTCTGCCATCTTGGGTTGTCTGCTGATGGTGGTGAGGTGCCATCCCCATGGGTGGCGGGAGAGCCCATAAGGTGGGGCTCGTTCACCTCTCCTCCCGTGATCCAGCCTGCGCTGACCCAAGGCTGTCTCTCTCAGACCTCGCTGGTGCTGGCTTGTGACCGCGGGATGGAGATGTGCTGTCCCTCCCACCGTCAGGAGGTGTAAGGCGCCGGGCTCCGGGGGGAGCTCAGCATTTGGTGACTGCTGTCATTTGCTGTCATGGGTTGTTGGCACTTGCAGCCCAGCAGTTTGTTCCTCAGGCCCACTTTGGTGGGGGTCTTACAGCCCCCACGGGTGGCCCAAACCCCAGCGGTCTTGAGACAAGCCCCTGACTTTCGGTGGCACCTGTCCCCGTGCATCTTGCCCTGCCTCGCCACCAGGAGAGGCCCTGCCTGTTGGTGTCACTGCTGAGTGGGAAGTGCCAGAGACAATCCTCTGGGGCAGCCAGGCCCCAGGAAGGTCAGACATGCGGGGCTCGTGGGGTCCTGGGGTGGGGGGCAGGGAGAGGTCTGTGTGATTTGTGCTTTTGAACGGACTAGTGGGTGGGAAGGACATTTGTGCTGGTGTTAACTGAGGAGCTTAAATGGGAGAATCCCTTCTGTGTTTGAACAAACTGATTCCATTTACAACATGGGGGCTGCTGCCAAAAGACAGGTCCTGGCTCAGGCTGCACCAAGCCTGGGCCTCAGGCACCGTCCACCTTGAGCTGGAGGTTTCTCGCTGGACCGTGGCCCAGGGGGTCTGCTCTCAGGGTGGAGTTTGCTCAAAGCATCAGCTAGCTGGGGCCCGCCCTGAGCCTCCTCAGTCCTGCCCCACCCCAGCTGGCCCTTTCCTTTCTCTCGTGCCCTTCCCTCAAGTGCTCCACGTCTCAGAGGTCTGCCCCCCTCAGTTGTGAGGTCATGTCCTGTAGCCTCACCCCAGCTCAATCCCTGGCACAGAGATAATCCCCAACAAGGACGGCTGAGGGAGTGCTCGCAGCCACTATGTGACCATTCGACTGTGCACGAAGGATCTAACCCCTGAGCCCATTTCATTGATAAATTGAGGCTGATTATTCATGCAGGAAATAAAAAAAAAAAACAGTGTACTCAAATAAATTCCAGATGAATGGGTTTAAATATAAAAACTAAAATCTCCCCAAATACTCAAAATAGCAATAGACATTTTTATAACTGGGAGTGGTGAAAGGCTTTCCGAGCATGATGCCAGTGACAAACACAACATAGGAAAGACGGATGATAAACGTCTACAGCATGCACCACAAAACTAACTCCATGACCACCCAACTCAAGAACCTCAGGAAACAAAGAAATGACAGCAAGCTCTGCAAACATATTTGCAACCTAGGTGAGACATTGCCTTTCCTTAATATATGCAGAGTTCTCAGAAATAACTGGAAATAAAACAACTCTTGGACGTAAAAATGGGCACAGCACAGTAAATAGGCCATTCACAAAAAGAAGAGATACAAGTGACTGGTAAGATATTCTCATCATCAATAGTTAAAAAAATGAAAACAAAGTCATGAGAGGTCTGATTGGCTGAGTGACCTTGGGCTAAGTGTAGTCATTTGTTACCCCGCCATAGAAAACCAATGCATGAGAGTATTGTAGTCTTGATGTTTTTTTCTGAAGATTTAGCAATGATTTTTGTTGTTTTTACTTTTAAACTGTGGAGTATAATACTAACAGAAGAACGCACAGCCCAAATCGAGCACTCCGTGAATTGTCACAAAGCCCACACCCGGGTCACCACAGCCAGGGTCAAGAAGGAGAACACGGCCTGCACCTCCAGTCTCCCCAGTGCCCCTCTCCCCAAGCGTGAGACCACCGTGACGTCAAACACTGTAGCCTGGTTTTGCTTATTTCTAAACTGCTGTCTAAAGGAGTCACACAGGGTGTGCTCTTCGGTTTGTGAGAAGATCCACATGATTGGGTGGCTATGGTTCACTCTTTTCTGTTGCTGTAGTTTCCCTTCTATGAACGGATCACAGTTTATCCATTCTTCTGTAGATGGACTTTTGGGTTGTTTCCAGTTGGGTCTGTTATAAATACTGCTGCTCTGAACATCTGCGTGCACGTCTCTGGGTGTACGTGTGCCCACAGTTCTGCTGGGTGTTCATCTGGGAGTGGAATTACAGGGCCATATGGTGTGTGCATCTTCCACTTAAACAGATGATGACCAACTATTTGCCAAAGTGGTTTTCCAATTACATTTCCACCGCAGAGTATGAGGATCTTCCTTCCCTGATGTCTTCACTGCCCACATTTGGATTGGTCAGCCTTAGCCATTCTCCTGGGGGCGTCATGTTATTGCCCTTGACGTGGTCCTCCCTCCTGCTCAGAGGGTTGACGCGGCCTCTCACAACTCCTGTTGTGGGGCACCATCTGTTTCCCTTCTGCCGCCAAAACAGACAGAAAGAGACCTGCTTGGGACATCTTGTTATGCTAATATCATGAACATTTTCTCATATCATTAGAATTCTTCAAAAACATGATTTGAATGACTGCATGATATTCTGTTGCATGGATTAACATAATTCTCTTACTGTCTATCAAGTTCCTTCCATTTTTTCCTGTTGCAATTGATGCTGTGATCAACGTTTCTATTGGTCTACGTTTCTGAATAGTTTTCCATCACAGAGTTCTAGAAGTGGGGTTCTTCGGTCGTTATCACCCATGGGTGAGTCAGCAGAATGACCACAGCCCTCTCGTCCTCATAGTTTGCAGCGAGTGGCTGCAGATCTGCTCATCCGGTTTCCTTGGGAACGTCTTGGAAAATACAAGTTT